TACAGAGAACAGACTGGCCAGGGTTGGGGGTGGGCAAGATAGGTGAAGGGGGCCAAAAGATACCAAACTTCCAGTGATAAAATAAATAAGGCTTGGGGATGTCATGTACAGCATAGTGACTATCATGAATAAAACTGTATTGCATGTTTGAAAGTTGCTAAGAGAGTAGATCTTGAAAGTTCTCATCACAAAAAAAAAATTTGAAACTATATATGGTGATGGATATAGTGATCATTTTGCAATATATACAAAAATTGGATCATGATGTTGTACACCTAAAAATAATATAATGTGATATGTCAATTATACTTCAATTTTATTTTATTATATTTTTTAAGATTTTATTTATTTGAGAGAAAGAGCACAAGCATGATCATGGGGGAGCAGCAGAGGGAGAAGGAGAAGCAGGCTCCCCGCTGAGCAGGGAGCCCGATATGGGGCTCGATCCCAGGACCCTGAGATCATGACCTGAGCCGAAGGCAGACGCTTAATGATCTGAGCCACCCAGGCGCCCCTCTATTTCAATTAAAAAAAAAAAAACAACACAAGAACTCACTTCACATCCACGAGGATGGTTATAATCAGAAAGCCAAGTAATAACAAGTGTTGGTGAGATGCTGGAACCCTCACACATTGTTGCTGGGTGCAACCTCTTTGTAATACCGCCTTGGCAGTTCCACAAGTATTAAGCAGAGTTACCTATGATCCAACAACTCCACTAGGTGTGCACATACCTGCTAGGTATGTACCCAAGAAAAATGAAAATGTACATGAATGTTTCATAATAGCCAAAAAGTGAAAAAATCATTAACTGATAAATGGATAGACAAAAATTGGCATATTTATACCATGGAGTATTGAAAAAGAAATGAAGTACTGATATATGTTATGACATGGATGAGCCCTGAGAACATTACGTTGGGTGGAAGAAGCCAGGCACAAAAGATCCTATATCACATGATTTTATTTATAGGAAGTATCCGAAATAGGCTAATTTATAGAGACAGAAAATAGACTAGTGGTTGACATGGCTGGGTATGAGTGGGAATGAGGAGCAACTGCTAAATGGGCATAAGATTTCTTTTTGTAAGCGTGAAAATATTCTAAAATTAGGTTAGATGGTTGTCCGATTCTGTGAATATAAAACCATTGAATTATACACTTCAAATGGATGATATTATAATATGAACTTTATCTCAAAAAAGATGTTTTTCGAATGGCAAACTTAATCTGCTTCAACCTAGTATATTACATGAATTGGGCTCTTACAATATGTCAGGGACTATTCTGGGAATTTAATACAAATTCATTTAATCCTTAAAATAATATAGGTATTCTTATTAAACCCATTTTGCAGGTGAGTGAACTGAGGCTCAGGTAAGTTAAATAAATTACCCACTGTCATAGCAAATAAACATGAGTCAGAATGTGAACCCAAAGCCCACCTGGCTCCATAGCCTGAGAATGACCCCCACCCAGTGCTACGGCAGCCTCTGGTTGGTAGTCACTTTTGGAGGGTTTACAAGTATAGTGCTTGGGGGTCAGAGACACAAATTTGAAAGCCTTGGTGCCTGTCCACAAGAAGATCACAGCCTGGGAGGAGACAGATATAATTAGAGGAAATGATGAAGATGCTCTGTGGTCAGTGCTCAACAATGAAGACAGACACACGCTCACCGTGCTTCAGGAACACCCAGGTAATGACCATCCATCCTCTGTTCCTCCCTCTGTGCATGCATGAAAGTATAACAGCACTTACTTGGGACTGGGAGGGCTACCCCGAAACCTGTTCCTTCCCTATTTATTGCCAACTCACCTCATCTAATCTGTTGTTTGAACAGACTTCCTGGGAGTCGTCTTTGATTCAACCTCTACGCCATATTCAATCAGTTCTACCCATTGGACTTCTGAGCTGCATTTTAAATCTGTCTAGTCCACTCATCTCCAAACCTGTGCCCGCTCATCTGGACTATTACATGGGTCCCCCACGAGTCTCCTTACTCGTATGTTTATCTCCCCACAAAACATTCTGCACACAGCCATTGAGGAGTCCCAGGGAGTAAACTGGGAACAGGCAAAGAGCCCCCCAGGTGTGAGAATGAGAATTAGTCGGGGGGGGGTGGTACTTACGAGGTGACATAAACAGCATGGGGCTTCTGACGGTCAACACATATCTAGGGTGGGGCATTTGTGTATATCGACAGACCGGTGGGGGCTAGAAGGCATGGGTTACCTGTGCGTGTAGGCTGTGTCTGGGGACAGGTCACTGGCTGCATTTACACAGCAAGCAAAAAAGCCCACGAAAGAGGAGCTTCCCCCTACTGTGTGATGATCACCCCTGATGACAATCCATCCTCACCACTGTGGACTGTAGCAGATAGGAGTAGGATGCGAGGGAGGAAGTGAACAGAAATATCTCAAGGTCACTTGCCTTAAGGACCCTAAGGCCCCAGGGGACAGGGGCATCTGGATAGACAGCCACCAAGGCTGTCACTCACTAGGGGACAAAAAGGTGAAGGGATCCGAAGGGAGCTGGGGGTGGAGAGAGGAAACTGAATGTTGCAAGGAATTTGCTGGACCCTTGTCCCTGGTCTCCGGGAGGAAGTCTCTAATAAATCCAGTTTCCCAAGTGATAGGAGTGGCTTTGTTATTCCTGATGGGACCCCGATAGTTGGTAGGAACAAGGGACTCCGTGGCCTCGAGGTAGTTTCAGGATGGGGCTGGCCTTGCCAACCTTGGAGGTTGGGGTTTTGAGATGGAGAGAGGAACTAGATTGAGTTCAATTATCTGGCCAGTGAGCTAATCAATCATGCTGAAGGGATGAATCCCAATAAAAAGGCAACACGGAAGCTTGAGTGACCTTCCTGGTTGGTAATACACATCCAAGTGCGAAGAGTGTGTTGTGTTCTGACTCCTCAGGGAGGGGACATGGCAGCTTTAAGTTTGGGACCTTCCCAGACCTCGCCCTTTCTTTCTTTTGCCTGGTCCTGATTTGTCCTTTTATTGCTATTAATAAAACGGTAAGTATAGCACTTTCCTGAGTTCTGGGAGTCATTCCAGAGGGGATGAGCCTGAGGGGAGAGCGGGAACCCCTGAATTTGTAGCTACTCAGCAATGGGGTTCAGGAAATGCTACTCCAAAATATGGTGCCTTGGCATGCTGAATATTTTAAGTTAAAGAAGTCTGAGAAAGTGGCAGAAACAGGAAGGTCACTTTGACCTCTTTGCCCCTCATCCTTTCTCCCTGAAACGAATCACACCCTCCCTTGAGAGGTGCCCTCTGTACTAAAGGAAAAGAGATTCCCCTTGTGCAAAGACAGCAAGATGCCAAGAAGAATCCTAACAAACAGGCTTTGCTAAGTTTTCCTCAGTGTACAATTACCTCACACTCCTTAACCTACCATATTCCATGACTGTCCACTCCTCATCACACCCAGCATAAAAATACACAAGTCTGGGGAACCTGGGTGGCTCAGTGGGTTAAACATCCGACTCTTGATCTCAGCTCAGGTCTTGATCTCAAGGTCATGAGTTCAAGCCCCGCACTGGACTCCATGCTGGGCATGGAGACTACTTAAAAAAAAAAACAAAAAAAAACACACAAGAAAAAAAACAAACAAAAAAACCCACACAAGTTTGTTTTGGAGGGTCTTCTGAAGACCCCCTCATGCCACACAAAACTTGTATCACATAAATTTCTATGTTTATCTCCGGTTATTCTATCAGTTTAATTTTTAGACCCAGTCAGGGGCCTAAGAGGATTTGAAAGAGGACTTCAGCTACCCCCATGTTGACCTGCCTGTACTTCTTGATTCTTTCCAGCTTATCTCTTAAACCCAGACAAACGACCCTGCGGGGAAAAGCATCCCATCACGGGTGATGGGAATCAAGACTACCCCCTCAAGCAGTAATAACTGTTCTGACAACAGCAAGACCCCACGTGACTGCCCCCAAGACAATGATCGACCTGACCTTCACTGCCCACCTGCACGTACCCACCGACCTTTGTCCCATTTTCCTGATATAAACCTGAAATATTTTCGGCACTTCAGAGACAGTCTTTGTGACGTGAGCCCGCTGTCTTCCCGGGGCTGGCCTCACTGAAATGAATTCGTTTGTTTCCCCACCGCTCCTCTCTCTGCCTTTGGGCTGAACCTGGTCTGTTTGGGCCCCTTGAAGCCAGATGCTCTTGTACCCCTTGAACCCCAGTTACAGGTTGAGGAAAACATTCCTTCCCTAGACTGGTCAGAAGGGTGGGGGGTTGTCTGGGAACCCCTGAGCTTGCAGCTCGTGTCTGCAGAGGAGTCTTGTGGAACACTGTGCCCTTAACTTGTGAAGTCTGGCCTGACCCTGGGTCATCAGTGTTGGAATTTAACATTGCACCAAACAGCACTTTCCACCCCACTGGGGAAAAGGGGTCTGCATCCCGACATGGCATGCTTTGCAAGCCCCGATATAAGGCTGTGTCTTTGTATATCCTACCGGGCCCTCTGGCTAACAGCAACCTGGAAGCCCAGAGAGCCAAGGGCAGCAGATTGAGAAAACATAAAGGTGTGTTTTGCAGTGTCCCTGTCCTAGTTAGAACCACCCTGCCCTGCTCTGATCTTAGGGACCGGGGGATGGTCTCAACACTCCCCTCTGTGTTTGGTTTCTGGTGGGAACTATCCTATCCTAGTTGAAGGGTGGGGAGTGAAGCTGGTGCTCAGAAAGAGGTGGTAGGGGTACAGAGGAAACCACGTCTTCAGGAGGGGTTCTAGAGGGAAACGGCAGATTTGGTGACTACCTGGGTTTGGGGACAGCTGTGTTTTACACATTTAGTGAGCAATACACTTGGCGCTTTCACATAAATACAGCTGATCCACCAACAACGGGTTTGAACTGCACAGGTCACTTATACATGGATTTTCTTTGATAAACAGAGCACAGAACCGTAAATGTATTCTCTCTTCCTTATGATTTTCTTAATAACATTTTCTTTTCTCTAGCTAAGAATACAGCGAATACACAGAACATACAAAATACATGTTAATCAACTGTTCATGTCATTGGTAATGCTTCCGGTCAGGACAGGAGGCTATTAGTAGGTAATTTTGGGAGAGTCAAAACTTATATGTGGATTTTTGACTGTGCATGGGGGTCAGTGTCCCTGATCCCCTCAAGCTGTTCAAGGATCAACTGTATCTGGGTTTCTTGATTCTCTGAAAAAAAAATGAGAAACCCTGTTCCCACAGAGCAATACCCAGCTGCAGCTAACAACTGCCCTCTCTGGACAGTGTGTGTGCTCCCCACCAGGGCCTCACAGCCAGCCTGCCATTACATCTGCTTTTCTTGCTTATCCAACACCCCTTTGCAGGCTCCAGTAACTGCTGCAGCTGGAGAGAATCCTGCATTCTCGGGCTGGGGTCTATAAAACCCCAGACAAAACAAGTGGAGCAGAGAGGTTCTGCTAATAGATTCTGAACATCCATGAGGACAGTGGCTAACTGCTTCTGAATTTCTCTAGCAGTCAGATCACCATCATGTGCTCTTTCCAACCACAGGAACCTTCCTGATAGATCGAGGGCTTTATTGTTGGATGTAAACAGTTTCTGAGCACAGATTCTGTGCTGGAGTTTCTCCCTTTCCAAATATGGACCCAGTCTGCCTGGCCCTGGGCTCTCTTCCCCCCGGGCAAGGAGACTCGGAAGCAGGGAGACGTCCCACAGGCTTTCCCAGAATGTGGCCAAAGTCTCAGTAAATAGAATTTAGTGTCCAGTAAAAGCCCGGAAGCAGCTGGGTTTCTTCCACTTCTCACACCGGCTCTTCTGGAGTCTGTCTGAGAAGTTAGCAGAGTCCATTAAACAAAGTGAAGGATTCAGGGGCCAATCAGCCCAGCGGTCTTCACTGTGCTCTCACAGGTCCGGCTTTGTCGTCCCCATTTTGATCCTGACTTGGCATCTCTAAGTCCAGGCGTCTCAGGGAGCATACGAAGTAGCGAGGAGGCTTGCAGACCAAGTCGAGTTCCTCCTTCCTGGACCCCAGGGCCGGCAGGATCAGCTGGTGGGCGTGCAGGTGAAGGGGGATGTGGCGGGCCTTCGCCTGGTGCAGCCCCAGCTTCTTCAGGGTACCAAGAGACAGCTTCTGTACAAAGACAAGACAGCTTCTTGAGAGCTAGGCCAAGAGCTCATCCTTGAGCAGTACGCTGCGTCAGAAGTCTTCCACTTAAAGGAACCACCACTGACTCCTCTGGAAGGCACAGCGGTGGACAGCCTGCTTCAGGGACATTCCCAGGAAGGGTTCGGAACCCAGGTGAGAGAAAAACCACCACACCTGGGAAGCTCTTATCAGCCAGTTCTCTGGCCTGCCTAGAGAATGGGCTGTAACATCAAGAGATAAAAAAGTGTCCACCGGGCGCCTGGGTGGTTCAGTCGGTTAAGCGGCTGCCTTCGGCTCAGGTCATGATCCCAGCGTCCTGGGATCGAGTCCCGCATCGGGCTCCCCGCTCTGCGGGGAGCCTGCTTCTCCCTCTCCCTCTGCCTACTTGTGTTCTCTATCTCTCTGTCAAATAAATAAATAAAATCTTTAAAAAAAAAAAAAAAGTGTCCACCAGGGATCTTCAGCAATAGTAGGAAAGGCTGCTTGAAGCCTTCAGAAAGTCTCCCCCAACCTGCCCACAGCCTCCTAACAAAATCTGAGATGAACGAATGAAGCAGAAGGGTTTTGCTAACAGATCCTGCAGCTCCGTGAGAACAGTAGCTGTTTCTCTCTAAGCTAGGTAACTAGTACATGTAACTAACACAGTACCATATCTGAAAACAATACATCCTTGTGGTGACTCACTTCGGACTTTAACAAGGGGAAAGCATAAACTCCCCCCCCACTTAGCTGTTGCACATTGGGTCACACCAGTATCACCTGGGGGGCCAGCTGAGTCCAGTTTGAGTACTTGTGATCACCAAGGATTGGGCAATCCAGTCCAAAAGACAGATGAACTCGAAGCTGATGTTTTATTCCTTTACCAAAAAAAAAAAGAGAGAGAGAGACAAGAAACTTGAGTAGCTACAGAAACCATAGTGTGGGTTACATCTGCTTCTAACCGTATTAAATTGAAGCACAGTAAGACTGGCAAAGCCCCACCTATAATAAAGTTTAAAGAATAACAGAGCAAACTGTAAGCTACTAGGAAAGAAACATTATACATGCTATTAAGCCTCTAAGTTCCCCTCCCCCTCACAGTTCCTTTTCCACCACAGATAACCATTATCATCAACTTGGTATCTCTCCCTGCTTTGCTTTTGTTTTGTTTTTGAGAGAGAGAGAGAGAGAGAGAACCTGTGCGAGAGAAGGGGGTGGGGGCAGAGGGAGAGGGAAAGAGAATCTCAATCTCATGACCCTAAGCTCATAACCTGAGTCAAAATCAAGAGTCCGATGCTTAGCTGACGGAGCCACCCAGGTGCCCCTTGTTTTGTTTTTTAGATAACATTATATAATGCTAAATAGTAGTGCTTTGCACATTTTTTCACTGTAGCAAAATATTCGTAACATTAAATTTATCATCTTAAGCATTTTTTAAAAAGATTTTATTTATTTATTTTGAAATAGAGCGAGAACAAGAGAGAGAGCATGAGCAGGGGGGAGGGCAGAGGGAGAGGGAGAAGCAGACTCCTCACTAAGCAGGCAGCCTGACACGGGGCTCGATCCCAGGACCCCGGGATCATGACCTGAGCCGAAGGCAGACGCTTAACCGACTGAGCCACCCAGGCGCCCCTCATCTCAGCCATTTTTAAGGGTGCAGTCGTGTGGTGTTACATACCTTCACATGGTCGTACAACCATCACCACTGCCCACCTCCAGAACTTTTTCATCCTCCCATCCCGAAACTCCGACCCAATTAAACATTCCTTCCCGCTTCCTCCAGCCCCTGGTAACCACTATTCTACTTGGTCTCTGAATTTGAGTACTCTAGGGGTCTCATAAATGGAATCATGCAACATTCTTCCTGTGTTGGTTTCTTTCATTTAGCATAAAGTCCACCCACACTGAAGCACATGTCAGAATCTCCTTCCTTTTCAAGACACATTCCATCGTATGTCTACACATTTTGTTTATCCATTCATCTGGCGATGGACATCTGGGTTGGCTTCACCTCTTGGCTACTGCGAATAATGCTGCTATGAACACTGGTGTACACATATCTTTCAAACCCCTGCTTTCAATTTTGTGGGTAATACCCATGAGAACTGCTAGATTATATGGTAATTCTATGCTTCATTTTTTTGAGGAACCGCTTTGCAAATTTTTAAATAAATGTACGCAAACTATTTATATCTTTCTACTACCTACTATTTTTAGTCATCCCTGTTGGGAGCTCCCAGCCTCAGGTTAGCACCAGAAGCACACTCTCAAACACATCAGCTACAATCCCGGCCCTCTCACCAAACCAGCTGCTCAGAAGAAGGGCAGGACCCAGCACAAGGCCCCGGACGAAGCTCAGTGGCCCTGGGCTTTTGCCATCCCACTGCAGAAAGGTGGCCTCTCACCGGTAATTGGCTGGAGCTCCACAAGGGCGGAGGACAGAGTGCTGCTGAGCACCCGGTACTGAGTCACAGCCATATGTGCGTTCCGGTTGCTCCGTGCTCTCACTATCTTCCCATCCTCCATGCGGTAGCCTGGGGACAGCGCCATCTGATGCCAAAGAAATCAAGATATGGTCACAAAGGAAGAGCAGAAAACCCAACCCCCTGGGGATGACAGTTCACCCACCTTGTAGTGCTGCTGCTGACCCTGCACCTCCTTCTCGATGATAGGGATATCCACGACTCCTGCTGGGGGCACCGGGACGCGCACAGTGATGGCCCTGGGCATGACACACAGACCCTGGCTTAAGCCATGAGGTGAGGGGGGAGCTCCTCGGGTTTGGCTGCTTCGAGGCTGTAACACTGGACCTTCTGCACTACTGTGGTCAGTTCTAAAGACTGGAGCATCCCAAGTGATCTCTTGTCACAGCATTTAGCCTGAGAGCTCGATATTAGTATCTTTTTTACTACGAATGTATACTAATTACAGAATATTTGGGAGAACACAGAAAAACAAAAAAATTGTATTTATAACATGGTCTTTCCTTTCAGCCTTTAAAAATGAATATGTATAGTTTATTTTTTTAATTTTTTTAAAAAAAGATTTATTTGAGAGAGAGAGAGAAAGAGAAAGAGAGAGTGAGGGTGGGTGGAGGGGCAGAGGGAGAGGGAAAGAGAAACCCAAGCTGACTCTGCGCTGAGTGTGGGTCTCAATCTCACAACCCTGAGATCACGACCTGAGCTGTAACCAAGAGTAGGATGTTTATTCAACTGTGCCACCCAGGTGCCGCAAAAATGAATATGTATAGTTTAAAATGAAATTAGGGGGGCTCCTGGGTGGCTCAGTGGGTTAAGCATCTGACTCTT